GCCATTCACAGCGTTTAACAGCTTGAAGTCGGTTATCTGGGAAGAGAATATGCTCTTTACGAAAAGGAAGTGGGATCTGATAGTGGCCGTTTACGTTACTTATACCATCATTGACAATTTCTATAAACTTCCTGTCGTCTTGAGACAAACCATATTCTTCTGAGTTTTGATTGATCGGATCCTCGTTAAAGTCTCTTTCGAACATTTCAAGAACTGTTTGCGGTGAGAATATTTCCTTGAACCTTTCTACTTCTCTAACAGTTATGCGATTTACTGAGACTTCGTTTGTTGACAAAGATTCTTCTACGGCAACTGGCCCACACACGGTCCAACCATGAGGCAAGCGCATAGCAAATGGTCCATTTCCTTCACTAGGTTTTACTTCTAACGGCCCTAGAGCTACGGGACAATTACTACCGATGAGAAGCCCAATGTCGCATCCTTGAATAAGTTGAGGGATTTTCTTTGCTATATCTTGAAGGTGTTCCCATTTACTAACGATTTCTGGTGTAGGAACCTGTGAGAGTGTGACGGGTATTTCACCTACTGTGTACGTTTTAGGTAATTCTATTCCATTATTGCCATCGATGTCAAGCACCAACAGGTTATTTATCATTTCTGAGTCTAACATGTCTTGACCATGCATGGTGCCCAGTTGTACTTTCGTTGAGACTCCTTTGGCATTTAATTTCGTCTGGGTGTCTTTTAGTAGAAAACAACCGCTGCTGCCATTATCATAAAAGGCAAGCGTAATAACCATTTTATCTTTCCACTGTAAACGTACTGGAAGGATGGGTTGTAAAATAATAGAGTTTACTGATCTGGTTACATTGCACACTGTTTTAGGAATAACATCTGATATCAAGTTAGCTGTATTTTCACTAGCCTTAGACGATTCAAGATGATTATCAACCATTTGAAGACTGAATCCATCAATATGTAAAGTTGTTGGATGTTTCTTTTGACATTTACTGCATGTGGCCCTTTGTAAACATCCCTTAGCCATGTGATTTGTTCCGAAGCAACTAAAGCAGAGTCTATTGTTTACCAAGAAAGTCTTCTTATCTTCCATTGTTTTCTTCGCAAAGGTTGGGCAATTATCTAAACCATGAGCGCCCTTACAAAGTTTACAGCTTAGTCCAACTTCTGATAACTGATTTTTGTACCCGGTCCCGTTTGAGCACCCGGAATTCGATGATACTGAACTCGTATTTGTAGCAAAGCTTTTCTGTTTGGGTATAAACGGTTTCCTACCATGTCCGTGTAAATCTTTATGCTGATAATGTGGTTTAGTAGCTTGACTGTTCGTTGAACTCGATTTCACCAAAGCGTCTTTACCGTATATGGGATCGTTTGCAGCTTCTGCAGCATCCTTTATAAAGTCTACCAGGTCAGTGAATAATGCAGTTTTCATTTCAACCTTTCGCATTCGAACAACACGTTCTCTCCATCTTGCTTGAAGACTGTATGGGAGTTTCTGTACAATGCACTGCATATTTGGTGGGTGATTCAAGACTAACATATAAGATAAACTACTCATGGCGTTTCTACACTTGATGAGAAACAGAGAAAATTTCTTTAATGCTGACGAATCTTCTTTAACTAAGGACCAATTAAGAACTTTGTCTGTGTACGATATTGAAAGCTTGTATGGGTCGCCATATTCTTGATCCAAAAGTTGTAACGCTTCTTCAAATCCTTCTTCGGGATCTAGATGTAAACATCCGTCGATTAAATGTCTAGGCTCTCCTTCTAAGTGCTGTTCAAGATAATAGAGACAATCGGCACTGTTGGAGACTTTAGACCGAATCCTTGCGTTGAAGGCTTTAATGAATGGCGTGTATTCTATCGGGTCGCCTTTAAACTTATTTACTTCCGGTTGAGGTAATGTCATTGCAGCCATTAATTGTCTATGCATCAAAACCACATCGTGTTGAATATTAGAGCTTGTAGCATTCTGATTTTCGTTTGACCTTGTCTGTAACTGTGTTGAATCCAAACATTTAGTGTTTGTCGGTTGAAATTCATTGGCTGTGGGGTTAAGACGTTGACCTTGCGGTGTGGTATTCTTTGTGCAGTTAGGCAGGGTTTGCTCTCGAAGTTGACGATAAATAAGCGGTGTACTCGAGATGGGTTGATTTAAATTACTTGCACTTGTTTGTTTATCATTTACATGTATCAATGGCGGTATGGCTGTATGTGGAAGATCACTTGGTTTTACCGTACTAGAATGATCACTGTTACTTGAGGATCCGTTGACTTCTGAAAGAACAATATATTCGTTTGACAATCTGTTTACATTATCTTCATCAACGATTTCACGGAAAGCCTTCTCTCTGGCTTGGGCTTTAGCGATTTTCACTTCAAGTTCTAATTTCTGAATTTGTTGAGTTTTAGACAACATCGCCTGTTCAGTCAGCAGTTCTGCAACTTTGGCCTTTTCCCTTGCTCGGATCATAGAACTTGAATATCTTGACGAACTAGACGAATTTGAACTTTTGTGACTTTTCTTCGTGTGCCTTGATTTATTTGAACTGGTGTGTAAAGTACTATCATCATCGCTATCCCGTTCTGCTACCGTATCTTCATTATTGTTATTACGAAGTTCTATTATCAAGTCTTTACGTGAATCCATGTTGATAAACTGTCGACAATTGACTGTAGACAAACTATCAAAACACTATAGGACGTGTCATGCACTTTAATCTATGGAAAGTCACTTAATAACCATTAAACGAAACAGTTTTACAACGTTCATTCAGTCTATATGAGCGGCTATTTTATTTCAACCATTTGACAATACGTATGTATGGCGAGAAGTCAATAATTTTTACTATTTGAAACTAATATGGTGGCCGTAAACTCGATAAAGTAAATACATTTAAACCATAAAATTTCTTTATTCTGTCCACCATAGGATTTATAAGTAAACCTTAAACCTTGTACATAGCGGTATTGAAACGCGTCACCGTCCCTTTAACTTGAAACTGCAGCCATGCCGTTACCAATACTCAATAGCCGATGTCTTGTTTACCGTTAGCCTTTCACATAGACACGACGAATTGAGACCTTAAACTAGCAGCTTATACAGTTCGCCATCGACACTCAATATCCGTTAACCGTGTGACATAAGCATTGAGCATCTATAGGAAAACTTTAACGTTAATACCGTTGACAACGGTTTTAAATAGTTTGAGACCGCTGTTTACTTCGCCATCTTTCGTTTGCACGCTTCCCGCTTGCTTACATCATCCCTTTTAATAAAGAGAGTTGCCTCCCTCTAACCGTTAAACTAAAATACATAAATTGATCGGCTGCGGGCACAATATTATATAAACAAGTGGTATATATATACATACCACAATATATATAGAAATGTATATAGTTTCGACAAACTCAAAGAATCAAAGAATTAGTATTTATTGTTGAATTAGTGGAGGGAAGTTTGAAGCCTTAATAATCTTGTCAGAGGATGATTATTCATTGTAGCCAAAAATGGAAATTTCCTGGATTCAGATTGGTCGAAACGTGGTGCACTCTAAATCTCCTACCAATGGTATTCCAAGCATTTCCTGGTAATTTTCTTGGGAAACAATTGTCAGCAACAACAATAACCTGGGGCAACCAGTAATCTTTTGGATAGATTATCATTTTAGTCGATGGTAACAAGAACAAGTGAATCTTATCGACCCAGTTAATAAGGTTTACCATTCTGCGTGAACGAGTATCAGTTTTGGTATAAGTTGTCGGTCGGATATATTCCAATAGATTCCATACAGTTATGCATATACACTCTAAGTCTCTAAGTAAATTTATTTACAATCTGAGGAAATGGTTTACATAAATAATTCTATCTTGTTAAAAAAAAAGACATTTTGCAATTTTGACATATTTTTGAGGGATGTTCCCTTTGAGTCGAGTTAGACACAGCACAGGAGATGTCGGGCTAACCTGTATTTGACCTATATTTTATCAAAGTAGGAAATTAAAAAACGTTTTCCTCCCAGTGTTAAGATCCCTACGCGCAATCGAATGATTGAAGTAAAACTGAACCATGTTTTGGTCCTGAAATGACCTAGTTTGTGTCGAGTGGACGTTAAACCCCATCCCCCCCCCCCCTTTTGTTACAGCGACGATTTTTGAAATAGAACAGCCTTAATATTAGGTCAGAATAATATAATTATGTATTCGTTTGACAGTATTTCATGGGGACCTTTCTTGTCTAATCTGATTAAAGTGTGTATCGTTCTACAAAGACTTCACGTTCGCTTAAACTAACAATTACTGTTTACATAAAACGTGTCCGTTTCAACGGAAAATCCCATCGCTATATGACAACATATAGTTTTTGTCCGCGCTGAAAGATTACAGACCGGCCATTCATGAGAGGAAATGGATGAAAAGTTCGCGTCGACATCAAAAATGCTCTATATACGTCTCATATACCCATTATTTTTATCTGTTTATGAGGAAATACACGATAATAAAGCGCTTTAAAATACAGATGTGACGTCACCCTTTGATGTTGGCGTACCATTATTTCAAATAATCGTACGGGCAACTTGCCAATAGTACTTTATTCATACCAGTGAGATATTGGACTAGTGTGACGTAAAAGCTCGTGCGGAGTGTCAGTATTTTAAGATGTTGTACGGCCCTCATGTTGTTACAATATATTACGCAATGTCGTAAGCTCGAGACCATTAAACAATACATAACACCCAAGCAGACGACATCTGTGTCACTTGCACGAGCTCTATCAGACAAACCACGTGATAATAACAATCAGTCAATGACTGAATTAATTCACGGCGAACTATTCATTATGATTGAATTTGAGCGACGGCTTTGTCAAACGTTTCCAAAATAAAACAAAACAAACGTGATGTCGTATCTATAGTATGTTGAATTATGAACAGTCCCGTTCATTGGTTGTTATTTTGTACAGCGTTTGAGATATAAATTAGTTTTATTCCCTCCCCCCCCCCCCCGCTGCAGCTGTTACCGCCATGCATAATGGCCCATCTACATCTTATATTGGTTTTAGTTACAGGTAAAGTACAGATTTATTGTATTTTGATTGGTAGATGGCAAGAAAGGAGTTAGTGGGGTAGACAGAATGATGATTATGTGGTAGTGTGTTGCTACCATATGTCATTAATTCAAGATATTGAATAGAAGGTAGCCTATTATTGAATGAAAAGAATAGATACTAAACATGACCGCAATGCACTTGGTATTACATGTTATTTTTTCTCTTCTATTTTATAAACGATGTGGTGCGTGTGTGTGTAGAGACAGGAGGGAATGGGGGGTAGGGTGTAGGCGGAGGGGTAGTTATGAGTCGTGTTTCACATTTTGCAGCATGAGAGGCAAGAAAAACCAACCAAAATCGACATAATTGCGGTTAGGTCACACTGACTGTTAGTTTATCGATCGTCGTGTTACGTTATCGGGTTGATGTGTTGGATGGCTGAATGGCTGAATGGTTAGTGTGCGCGCGCTGTATCATAAAGTCTGTCATTGATTCGACTGGCGTGGTTTCGAAACCCCGGTTGTACGTGGCAAGGAGTAGGGTCGCCTGTCCAACCTCGTGGGTTTTCACCAGGTCTTCCGGTTTCCTCCCACTGCTAAAGACCCCTACGCGCAAGCGAAATATTGAAATAAAATTAAACCATATGTTAGTCCCGAAATGACCTAGTTTGTGTCGAGTGGACGTTAAACCCCATTTTTTTTCTCTCTCTCTCTCTCTCTCTCTCACGTTATCGGATGTTGTAAGATCAATATATATATATACATATATATATATATATATATATATATATATATTGATCTTACAACATATATATATATATATAGTCAGTTTCTAAAGGCGAAACACAATTACGTATTTTAAAAGAAATTTCGAAACTTCCATTTCTTCAACATACCAAGTTTGACATTTCTTATAATTCTATAACCGACTACATATTGGGTAATGATATAATTGAATAATTATTAATTAGAAATTATAATTTTCTAAAAATTAGAAATTATTTAACAAAATTAAAAATAGGAAATAAAAAATTAAAAAATTAAAAACTATTCTACAAAATCAAAAACTAAAAATAGATATTATAAAAACATTTTTCAAAATTAGATAATCAATAAAAATAGGAAAAAAACCAAACAAAAATAATTCTTACTAGAGCTTCCATATTTCTGTGATATTTTTTTAATTTGTCTCGTAGACGACGCCATATGTTTGGCGTAATATATCCCGGTTAGAGCTGACGTCCCATAAAACTCCATCTCATTCATTCATTGCTAAGAATTAAAGTTCACTAGCCATACACATAAAGATATGGCCAGGCCTCGTGGTCTTACAATTCAGATACTATATTTTAATTCAGTAATCTAATTGGGTGTATAATTTTTACCATCTATAAGACCAGACTCGGGAGTTTTAAACGTAAGCTGTAATATTTTGCTTCAATTACGGACGTGCGTATGATGAAAACCTACGGCGCGAACAAAACATGTTTAGGAAATCAGCCAAGGCTGGAGGTCAGTTTTCGAATAACTGTATTCACTCTATGTAATATTTTGCTTCAATTACGGACGTGCGTATGATGAAAACCTACGGCGCGAACATGTTTAGGAAATCAGCCAAGGCTGGAGGTCAGTTTTCGAATAACTGTATTCACTCTATGTATTTCACAATGGGACCTCGTCCACCCACCACAGCTAAATGATGGCAAGTTGAAAGATGGAGAGAATCACCCTATTCTTAAGCTATGCTTGTAACCTATTATCCAGTGCTTGAAATCAAAGTGTAGAAACAGTACATTTATTCCTGTCATCTTGTTTGTTAATCATGCGATATGTTTGGGACTGATAAAAAGATATACACAACATGAGATGTCAAAGAAACATTTAAAGGTTCCTAACCAAGAATGAAAAAAGAATTACAAAAAGAAACTATAGATAATACAAGACTAATAAATTATGTAGCAGAGAAGAGATTATGCGTCACACGTTGGATGTGCGGAGTTTTAGCCAGAGACTCAAAGAACTGCATCGTATGACATATTTGATTTGGTTGCCTCCATTAACTTTCTGGATTATGGCCCCTGATTGTACGAAAAATCATGTCTTTATATAGCGGTGCCTCTAGGGGCCACAATGTTTATCCTATTTTTAAAACCGTTCAAATATATCACCGAAAAATGACTTAGATTTCAATGTAATTCTATACATCATTGGCGGCAAAGGCCTATATTTAAGGAGTGTTCTAGGCTAGAAAAAGCAGAAAACCACAGAGATAAAATTATATTGATAAAAAATAGATTAATAAAACGTAAGGCAGTTTTAAATAAAAAGTTTCCGTTGGGACGTAATTCTAATGATTTTTATAAATTCAGTCTTTATTATTAGTTTAGGTTTTTTTTTTAAACGAAACGAAGTATCAAATAACTAGTTACGCTGCGCTGACTTGAAACAAGTTAAGGTTGTTTACGTTTTTAAACCCGTTTGTACTCGATTAAAATGATATCATCGGTAGTACTTCGGTCATATTTATAGGGTAGAGATGTAATGCTTCACAACGATGTCAAGGGGATTACCTGATTTTCCCACAACGAGCGAAGAAAAATAGCTAATTATGAATACGGTACTCTCACAAAACGTCCAAATAAAGGTGTTTCTAAATGTTTTATTTCTATTTTGATATATTGGGTCGATAGATAATATATTTATAAACTCAATTTTGTGAAAAATCAATATTTCACCTGTTTTGTCTGTAGCCCAATATTAGACATTGCACATTCCGACCCATTTAGCCCCACGGCTCACATACTGGAACACTGACTGCCACATTCCCCACCGTGGCACCTACCACCTACACCGAGGACCAGTACCGCGTATCATCACACCTATCGTATTTAACGACAGGCTATAATTATGATATTGTAGAGTTCATTGTTAACGTACCGTATGATTAGTAAAATGTACAACTTATAACAATTGATAACACCGTACAATAACATAATTGTATGTATGTAGCGATATATATGGAAAAAATGAAATAGCTCACAAGAAATACCAAAATTATATTCTAAAAATAGCAGATGTAAACAGTGAGCTACAAGTTATTTATATGCTTCAAGTTATTCATATACCTGAAATATTCATACACATGGCTGTATTTAAAAGCTGAAAGTGAAGAAAAACAACAACACACCCAAGAGTATACTTCCATAACATAAAATCTGTGTGTAAATAAGATGTGCATTCATAAAAATTAACACAGAATATAAAAAAATGCGATTTGACGGTTCGTTTAAACTTTACTCAATCGAGGGTTGCGAAACCTAGTTTCAATGAGATGTGTGAAATCAGTTTTACGACGACGGAACCGCCCCACCCCTCAGTTTGGAGTTTGTTTAAGCGCGGGTTTAACTATTTGATAGTTCAGGGTAAACTAACCATGCTTTCGGAATGTGGTTATAAGTTCTTATCAGTCAATTGATAGTGTCTTTGATATATTAACAGTTTGTTTAAATTTGGGAAGTTCCTCATTCCTCGTCGGTTTACCAAACCAACCCATGAATCCATTGGAGGCTTTCATCTGTGTAGAATCTTGACGATTTGGATCAGGTACTACACCAGGAATGGAACAGTCTAACGCAGGCTCAGATCAAATGTCAGCAAGGGATCCAGGCTGGCGAAGGTTATACCAGATATTGACTTTTTCACGGTTCTATGGACCACTTAGTAGTTAGGGGGCTTGTACAGCCATTTTTTTGCGCGTGCGTGCATGTGCGTGCACGTGACCTTGCACGTGCGTGACCTTGCACTGAGTGACCCCTTGCAGGTGCGTAACCTTGCACGTGTGTGACCCCCTGCACGTGCGTGAGAAAAGAGAGGGGGGGCGCGCGCGGGAAGAGAGAGAGCAGAAAAGGAGAAGAAGAAGAAGAAGAAGAGAGCAGAAGAAGGGAGAGGAGGGGGAAGGGGAAAAAACTCTTTTGCATTGATTAAGTTGGCCCTGAAAAGGGCCGTTGTCCTCACTAGAAAGCGAGGGTGCGACGCACTTTATGTCGGTTGCGTCTGATGGTCTCCACTAATTCGGGAGGGGTCTTTTCCTGGGAGGTGTTTTTAAGTAGGTCCAGTCTGTCCACCCGATCCCAATACAAAGACGTGTTACCGATGTCATCGTGTGTTTATGAGCCGGCAGTGTTTCGACAACCATCTCGCTACCCGTTCCAGAGCCAACTGCAGTATATGTCACCGCTGGAAGAAATGTGAAAAATGCCAGAAGGAGTGGGACGTCATCAAGGCCAAGCGAAATTTGGAAGAACACCGATGCGGAGAATACCAGTGCTCCATCTGCCGAGAGTGGCACACGGCCGAAAAACAGTTTTGCTACATTCAACAGCTAAAATCACCCATCGACATGGACGGAGACAGAAAGACACAAATCGACAAACAGCAGAAAACAACGTTGACCCGCTTCGTCTTCTTTGACTTTGAATGCGAGCAAGATTCCGGTGAACACATTCCCAACCTATGTGTCCTGCAAGCCTGTTGTCACTTTTGTCTCGATAATCAAGTACCCTGCGAGCACTGCGACCAATATTGGAATCACCAACGGGAAATTGTTTTTAAAGGTCAAGACACGCTGGACGATGCGGGAAAATGGTTTTTACAACTCGCTGCTCACAGTACGGTGGTAGATGGTCGGAAAAATGACAGTCACGAATCGAGTCCCGTGATCGCCGTGGCGCACAGTTTCAAAGGTTACGACGGACTGCTGATTTTACAGACGCTGCACAAACATTCCGCGGCGCAACCCGAAGTAATTATGAACGGGGGTAAAGCGATGACGATCACTGTCGGCACAGTAAAATTCATCGATTCCCTCAACTTTTTACCCACGCCCTTACGGGACATGTCCAAGACTTTTGGCCTGCAAGAACTCAAGAAAGGTTATTTCCCTCACCACTTTAACAGACCGGAGAATGAAGATTACGTGGGCGCCTATCCTCCCGACACCGATTTCGATCCAGATGGCAT